TGAGTGGTCGCTATGACACACACTGACCACCAGGAGGCAGACACTAAACGCAGGAGCTGCCCTCCTGGTGGTCAGTGTGCTCCCACAGCAGGAGCGCTGCTCAGCTGACCAAACCGTCCCGGCATCCCACCAGCCCTGTGGCAGCCACTCCCTCCCTCAGTAGTCCTGCAGGTCCAATCTCCAGAGAATGGGCCAGGCACCGATGGACCTGCTGGCACTTACGGCACTGCTGGCATGATCGGAAGTCGGCCTCGGGCACTGTGGCTGCTTTCCCTCCCTAGATGTTCTGCAAGGAAGAAATGATATTAAAGTGGCTGCCAGGTGACTCCCAACAACTGGTGTGAATGTCAGCAGGATGGATCCAGATCCTGGGCTGGCAAGGGCATTCCACCGCCTGCCCGGAGGGCCTATTGTGTCCCAGCCCCCTCCATCCCACTCAGGATGGGCGCCAGATGCAGGGCTTATGGCTGGCGAGTGCCGCTGTGACAGCATGAGCCTCTCCCAATTGGGACTGACTGGGTGCAAGCCTGTGGCAGGCGCAGCGGGGCTGGGGTGAGCAGGAACGGCAGGTGGTGTTGGACTGTGGGTTTCAGCCTGATCCCTGCAGGCCACCTCGAGGGACCCCACCCATGCACGAATTCGTGCACTGCGCCTCTAATATTGTAATAATTCTCTACGGTGACAGATGGGTACCGGAAATATTGGGGGAACACCTTGCAAAGTATATGATTATCTAACCACTATGCTATATGCTTGAAATTAATACAAAATAATATTGAATGTAAACTGTAATAGAAAAATAAAATTAAAAAAGAAATGAAGTAGCCATTTTAACAGGAAAGAAAGTTAGTACTGCACTCCTGATTTATTTCTGCTTTCACAAGTTGACTCTTTGACATTAAAATTTCTCCTTCTGCTTCCAGCACCGAGTGGATTTTCTTCAGCTGATGATTAACTCTCAGAATTCCAAAGAAACAGACTCCCATAAAGGTAAACAAGGTGTACTTCAGAGGGCCAGTGATGGGGAGGCTCAGAGGTAGTGGTGGTTCTGAAAATGTATAGGAAGATTTTCACGCAGACGTGAAGTTCTATCAAATTGAAAAAGACACATGCTCAGAATAAAGGTAGCCAGAGGCACTTTCTACGCACATGTGGGCACAGCTTTATTCAAAGCTTGAAGGGCACCATAAACAAGAATTTTATGCCCTGAGGTCAGTCAGTGTTCTGTGGATCACCTACATCAGAATCACTGGGAGCTTGTTTCCAATGTCTATTCTCTGGCCTCATCCAGCTACATGGAAATTTGCATTAAGAATGCATCACTTTAGGAAGCACATTGCCCCAGTATTGGTGACCTTCACTTGGAACCCTTGGTTAAATTGTGTTCACTAGCTTAATCTAGTATAAAGTTTTGCTTTTTATTTACTTGTTTGATGGTCAAATTCTCTCAGGTTTGTCCACTGGAGCCCTTTCAGAAGGCTCTGGGGTCCTATTTTCTTTCTTTATTTTTATTTTTTCAATATACTTTACTTTTTAGAGCAGTTCTATGTTTACAGCAAAATTGTGTGAAAGGAACAGATATTTCCCATAACCTTCTCCCCTCACCTATATTCAGCCTCCCTGACTATCAGAATCCCTAACAGCAGTGTACCATTTGTTAGTCAGTGAATCTACATTGAGACGATTATCATCCAAAGTGCATAGTTTAAATTAGGATTCACACTTGGTGTTGTACGTTCTACAGGTTTTAATCAATATATACTGTATATATAAATCCCTAATATACAAATAGACCAAACGGTGGAACAACCGAACAACTGGTCGCTATGACGTGCGCTGACCACCAGGGAGCACACACAGAACATGGCGGGCATTGGCTGTGGTGGGATGGTGGAGCAGGTGAGCGGGGGCACCAGACCAAGGCAGGGCGCTGGTCGCTGTCATCAGTGCAAGCCTCTGGTGGTTAGTGAAAATTCTTTGCTCTCTTGCGCCGCAGTCTTGCTGGGTGCCCGCACCTTCTGCCGGCACCGGCCCCGCTCACACCCACTGATGGCATGGAGCAATTGGGGCCAGCACCAGCAGCAGGTGTGAGTGGGGCCGGCACTGTCAGCGAGTGCCAGGAGTGGCTGTGAGGGGTGGCTGCTGGCCCTGATTGCCCCTCAGGGCTTCTCCACCTTCCCCTGCTCCCGAGGGGCGGTTGGGGCTGGCAGCTACCTCTCACACCCACTGCTGGTGCTCGCCCTGCTTGTACCCGCAGCCGGCACTGGAGTCGCTGCCTGCACCCACTGCTGGCGTTCGGTGCTGGTCCGGATCACTCGGCACTGTCAGTGGGTGCGAGCAGTGGCTGCAGGCCTGGATCACCCTTGAGGACTTCTCTATCTACCCTTGCTTCTGAGGGGCAATCAAGGCAGCAGCCACCGCTCGCACCTGCTGACAGTGCCGGCCCCGCTTGCACCTATTGCTGGCACTGGCCCCAATTGCTCCATGCCATCAGCGGGTGCGAGTGGGGCTGGTGCCATCAATGCATGGGAATGGTGGTGGTGGGAGTGGGGCTGCTGGCAGATGGGGGACTGGGGGCCTTGGAGGATGGGCCGAGACCCACCCCTGTGCCCACCACATCCTTGCGGCCCACAGTTCCTTTCAAGGTGCACTGGACCCCTAGTAAATTTATAATGACACTAGAGGCCCAGTGCACAAATTCATGCATGGGTGGGGTCCCTCGGGGTGGCCTGAGGGGATTGGGCTGATACATGCAGTCCAATGCCACCTGCTGCTCCCACTCATCCCGCTCCCACTCATCCCAGCCCTGCTGTGCCTGCTGCGGGCTTGCGCCCAGTCAGTCCCAATCAGGAGAGGCTCATGCCACTGCAGCGGTACTCACCAGCTGTGAGCCCTGCGTCTGACACCCGTCCTAAGGTGGGTGGGGAGGGCAGGATGCAATTGGCCCTCCAGGTGCGTGGTGGGTCGCCCATGGCCTGGGATCCCGATCCGTCCCACTGACATGCCCAAAGCCGACTTCCAGGAGGCTGGCAGCGCAGCTGGGATCATGCTGGCAGCGCTGGTCCGTCCGTGCCTGGCCCGTTCTCCGAAGATTGGACCTGCAGGACTATTGAGGGAGTGAGTGGCTGCTGCTGGGCTGGTGGGCCACCTGGACAGTGTGCTCCCACTGTGGTAGTGCACTGACCACCGGGGGCAGCTCCTGCATTGAGCGTTTGCCCCTTGGGGGTCAGTGAGCATCATAGCGATCAGTCGTTTGGTAATTCAGTCACTTAGGCATATATATATTTGTCCACCATTAGAGTATAGAGAATGTCCTGTATCTTTTTCACCTATCATTTTCTGAGTACTTCCTTGCTTTCTGATGCAAGGCATTCCAAATTTCTCTCTATTTCCCCTGATCAGCCTGGAGCCAGCCATTTCACCAAGGAATTCTGGTTTATCTTAGTGAGAAATGGTACTTAGAAACCAAAATCCGATCTAGGAGTGCTCATTGCTCCTAGGGTTTCCTTACTTTTAGATTGTCTCAGTGGATAAAGCTAAGAACATCAAATATATTTACAGAGGTCTCATAAACATAAATATTTCTATATTCACCCATAATTAGTGATGTAAACATATTTTCTCTCAAAAAGAAACATCCAAGTATTATCGTTTATTCCTATGATATAAATACTTCCATCATGTTAATTTCAAACTACTAATGGCTTGACAACCATCTCACAAAATTTCTGAATGTTTAATAATTGGTTCTAAAGAACAGGGATGAGATGACTCCAGCACAGCACTGTAAATATATCCATATCTATGTATACATGTCTTTCTTTCTCCCTATCTATCTAGTCTAATACAACCTTCTGTGATGAAAGAGAACATAATCTATATCAATAGAGTTACCACTAGGCACATGTGGCTATTACACATTTGACATGTAAGCAATGCAACTGAAAACTGAATCTTATATTTAATTTTAATTAATTAAAATGTAAATAAGCACATGTAGCTAGTGGCTACCTATTGGGCAGCACAGCTCTAAATTTTGGATATCATGGGGTATATCCTAACTGGGGGAAGGAATTTGATAGTTGAATTTACCCCCAACAGCATCATAAAAATAATGTTTGAAAAATCAGAACTCGGTAGACCTTTCTTGTTTTTAGATGTGAATTACATATTTGTGGGAATTAGCATGTTTATTTCAGTGCTCTAAGTATCAAAAGGCCCTAATTCATTCCCACACAAATAGATTAGATCTTAACCATGCTTATTCTCTTAGGAGAAAATAAAAAAGGAGGCCACTATTAGTTTGAATAGACTCTTCCTCCCCTCTCCCTTTCTTCCTCTTCTGGAATGCCCATTATTCTAACATTGCTTTTTCTGCTGCATAATTCTTTCCTCCATCTCCATGGCTCTGTTTTCTATGCATGCTTCATTTTCAGGATTTCTGATTGGTTCTTTTTAAAACTTTCAATCTCTTTGGTAACCTACTCATTTTGTTCATTCATTTGTTTTCTGAGTGCATTGAATTGCCTGTCTGCATTTTCTTGCATTTTGTTGAGTATTTACAGAACTGCAATCATGAAATCTCTGTCATTTACATCACATATTTCCATGTGTTCCAACTTGCTTTTTGGGGATTTTTCATTTTCTTTCAATCATCCTTGTTTCCGTAGTTATTCGTGGTATTTGTTGTTCTCCTTTGCCTACACATTTATATCTGTTGATATTAATGACTTATAACAGCTTCCTCTGAAGAGGTCTTTCTACTGTTTTCCAGTAGATAGCACTGAATCACAAGATTTTTTACCTCTGTGAGCCAGATTTGACCTCTAGGGCTTTTATAATACAGTACAGCCTTGCTGCTTGGAGGTGGGGTTTGTTTTCCCTCACTGTAATGGTGACCCCTGACCTCCATGGGGTTCCCTCCAAGCATTCAACCTGGGGATCAGTCACAGAGGAAATGGTGGTTCTACAGCAATAACTCTTGGTTTATAGATAATGTGCTCCTTGGCTATATTCCAAAGGCAATAGGATGCGAGTTTTGGGAGTCTGAGCATTGGCAGGACTCTGTGCTTCCATTTCTTTCTCTGAAACACCACCATCGGGCCCAGTAGTGGAGAGCCACAGCTCTCCCTT